CAACCTCATAGTACTCGTATACCTTGAGTTCTCAATAGTGTATATGGGCTTAAACAAGACATAAAGAGTATGTATATGATTGTATTTTTAATATGGTATTATTATGATTTACATTGTTTCATATGTGGTACGATAAATGATAATATGATAGTATATTTACATTTGGATAGTATATTCTTAGTAATTCTTTATTATGTAATTATGCCTCACTAAGTCTATGACTTAGCGTGTAAGTGTTTTTACACGTAGGTTCCGAAGAGCAAAAGAATCGAGAATAGGAAATTACAGAGCAACATATCTTCACTCAGCGATCAGATCAGATGTAAAGTCATAGTATGTATTTTGTTGTATGTAGTGTGTTGGCATGTAAGAAATATGTTAGTTACAAATGCTCTGATCAGTTGTGTCTTGTTTTTGGTCAACTTATGTAAAGTAAAAATGTTATTTTAATGAAAGTTTTTAAAAAAATTCTTCGGTTTTCTTTAAAACTCAAAGTTTGTAAAGTAATGTGACGCCTCAAACTCGTATTCAGGTTGGATATCGGGTTGGGTGTTACATGGAGTTTTCTTCAAAATAGGCCTAATAATTACTCGATTAATAACATAAAAAGCGGTATTTGTGACTTCTGCCCAAAAAAAATTTTGGCAAATTGTTTTCACAAAGCATGATTCTAGCCATTTCTTCTAAAGTTCAATTTTTCCTCTCAACAGCTCCATTTTGTTGAGGGGTTCTAGGTGCTGAAAAATTATGACTAATACCATTAGAATTACAAAATTCAATAAATCCATGATTTTCAAATTCAGTTCCATGATCACTCCTAACACTAGTTATAGAGTAACCTTTTTCATTTTGGATTACTTTTGAAAACGTGATGAATTTTTCTAATGTTTAATCTTTAGCACTTAAGAATAGAACCCAAGTATATCTAGAATAGTCATCTACCAATACAAATGCATATTGTTTTTCACCCAAGCTAGTAGTTCTAGTTGACCCAAAAAGATCTATATGGATCAATTGTAATACTCTACTAGTTGATACATCATTGATGGACTTAAAGGAAACTCTAATTTGTTTTCCTTTAGCACAAACATCACAGATTTTATCTTTATCAAATTTTAGTTTTGGCAACCCTCTTACTAAATCTCCTTGAATTAGTCGTTGCAAAACACTCATACTAGCATGTCATAGTCTCCTATGTCATAACCAACTATCATGCTCATCCTTAGTAACTAGGTATAAATTAGTCATATCTATAGAATCTAAATGCACCATGTAAATGTTCCATATTCTATGATCAATAAGCATAATCAAATTGGATGCAATGTCAATCAATTTTGCAATCATTAATTTAAAATAAGACATTGTATCTTTTATTAAATTCATTTATCAAGAGATTATGCTTTTAACCCATTCACAAATAAAACATTATGCAATGTCGATAATCAAGATTTTATGCATAAAGTTTTTGAAAATGTTATGCATTAAAACTTTATAATATTAAAAAAAATAAGATCTATGCATAAACATTAAGAAAAATTTAAGGTCAAAATTTTGCAATATCAAAGTTCTTGAAAAATCGATATCAATTGTTAAAGAGATATCAATTACATTTTAAAAACAATTTTGACCAAAAATTAAATATGATGAACTAGAGTTTATAAAACATTACCAAAAATTATTATGTTCATCATACAATATTTTTCAACATACATGAGATAAAACATAATCATTTAGAATTATTCAATATTTTAAACCCTCATGCATGCATAAACTAAATGAGCAACCAAATAAAATAATAACATTAAGTTTAGAGGTTACACATTCCTTTTTCATGTGTGGCTAGAGCATATTGAATATCATCATCTTTATCACCATTGCTCTCACACACCTACAAGAGACATTTAAGTAGATTTTGGTATCCAAATTGCTTTGGATCCTTAAACATTAGTTTCAATGCCTCTTGTTCCTTTTGGAACCCATACTTGTCTAATTTTAAATCGTTTTCCTTTCTTTAAAGGATAAGTATGTTCCTTATGACCATGATAATGACAATGTGAACATATTGTCATTATTGAACTAGATGAATTATTTAAAATGATCTCTTTTTCTTTTGTTAAACATTCAAGCTTAACTTTCAAATCGAAATTTTCTTTTTCAATAATTTCAAATTTCATTTTTGAAAGCTCTAAATCCTTCTTCAAGATTTCATTTTGATTTTCAAAATCCATTTTCGTTTCTAGAAGAAGTTTGTTTAATTTGAAAATTTCTTTTTCAAAGTTTTCAGATTTCGTTTTTGAAAGCTCTAACTCATTTCTCAACATTTCATTTTGATTTTCTAAATCTGTTTTAGCTTTCAAAAAGAAGATCATTTTTAGCTATACATTTATAAATCAATTTATTGTATTTGGAGTTCATGGTCTCAAACTCCGAAAATAATTCATCATAAGCATCTTGTAACTCATTAAAAGATTTTGAATTTAATCTATTTGTGTTAGAAGATACCTTTGGCTCTGTGAGAGCTAATAGAGACATCATATTTATTGGTTCTTCTTCCTTGTCTCTATAGATCTCCTCAATCTTATCCCACATCTCCTTGGCATTTGAACAAGAAAAAACTCCTTTATATACATTAGGATCAATTGCACAACATAACATGTGCATAGCCTTTGTATTTTGTTGAGCTTTCTTCCGTTATTGATTACTCCACTTCTTTGCCTTCTTCGTAGGAGAATAATATCCTTTCTCGATCATCATCCAAGCTTCCATATCAAATGCTTGGATAAATATCATCATGAAATTCTTCCAACGACGATAATTTGTTCCATTGAAGTATGGAGGCACGTCAATTGGTCTGGATTCTTCCATAGAGAATGAACCGGAAGTGGACGCCATCTTTATCGATTTAACTCTTCCCGAATCGACTCAAGAGGTGGTTAAACCTTCAAATGAGTGAGGCTCTGATGCCAATTGTTAAGTTAATCGATCGATGGAATTAGCCAAGAGGGGATGAATTGGCAATAAAAAATTTTGGTGGAAGCTTTTGCAGAAAATTGAAAATATTTTTATAGTGATTTAGAGTGGTTCGACTTTCTCAACCAAAGTCTACGTCCACTACCTTAGCTATCCACACTAAGGATTTTCCACAAATTCACTGATTTGTCTTTCTTTTGAGGACAAAGAGTAACCTTACAACTCCCTTAAGAATTATACCCCAAATTCTTGAGAACACTCTCTCCCAAAGAGAAATACACAAATTTGCAAACTTACAAGGAAAACCTCTCAAGGTAGATTGTTTGCACAATTCTAGAACAAAGAAAGAACACTCAAGAATGAATACAATTGAGTACAAGTAGTGTTCTTGAAAGCAAAATGAATATTGAATGAAAAATAGGCTTGAAGTGCTCAAACAATGAGTTTGATGCTTTCTCTTTGATTCTCTCTTGATTCTTGTTAATTATTGTTGATCAATGGCTTCTAAGCTTGTTTAAATACTCCTTGGATCACTTCTGAATGTTTGGGGATCATTGGTGAAGTTAATAGAGCCGTTTTTATGTGAAAACAATTAATAAACCAACTTGGAGCGTGGGGGAATCGGTACCCCCTCATAGGGGATCGATTTCTGCAGTGTAAAATTCAAATATTTCGACTGTTAAATAGGGGGAATCGGTAACCCCCTGGAGGGGGGGGAATTGGTACCCTTTGGACATTCTGTTTTCTCTCAGAGCCAAAACATGCATGGGGGTATCTATACCCTCTGGGAAATCTGGTTTTTCTTAAAACCCTTTTAAAAAGAAAATATTTTTGGCTCGATTAAGGCTCGAAATACTTTGTAAAATTTGTTTAAAAAATAGTTTAAGTATAAAACACAATTTTACACTTTAGTAAGGATTAAAATGAACTTTGAAAGACTTGGAGTAATATTTTGATATTTGAATAATTATATCGAATATACTTAGAAAATCTTTTATAAAATCTTAAAATTCATTTAACTTAATTTGTTATATCGAAACATCAAAATATTTTCAACAGAAGGAGAAGTAGAACATAAGATTATTCCTTAATAGCCAAATTTGCCAAAGGAATAAGATATAGAACAGACTGCCAGTTGGTCTAATCACCATGGAGAGGATGTGGTGAAGCTCAGTCTACTACTCTATGATAGGACAATACGTCAAGATATGTTGGATAACTTTATTATAATCCATTCAAACTGGAAAATAATGGTCCACTTGCGTAAGCTGTACATTGTGAAAACTTGTCTTAAGAAATGCAAACAAAAGAAAAAATTGAAGGGCACTTCTAAAGATCAAATTTGATATAATTAATTCTGATTTACTCTTTCAGCATTCACATAGAAATCAAGATGATTTTCTAATACATTCATAAACCTAGTAGAATCCATTAGCTTGAAAAGAAATTCAAAAAGATCACACAAACAACAGATTCTTGAGGACTCCAAAAACACAAGTTATACAACTCACTAATAATCATCCAACACTTATGCTTCCTTTTGTGATGCAGCTGCAAGGGCTTCCTTATCAGAAGAAGCTCCTTCCTCCTGATTAAAACAACCAAGTGAAATGTTTGTCACAACAAATGAATAATGGAAGAACTATGGACCACAGAAAGCTAAATCAAATGTTTGAAGAGAAAGGTAATGATGCCTTACTTCATCATTTTTAGCCTTCTCATACTCTGCCTTGAACTCGACAGCTTTATCAATGCAACACTTCTTTTCCTGGTTTGAATCATCATAAGTCATTAGTAAAAAAGTGCAATTAAAATAATTGAATACCAACAACTTATCTCATCAGACATGGATATCCATTTCTCATCACCTTCTTTTGCAACCTAAATTTCATCGTCAAAATGCTCACTACCCAATTTTGTTCTCAGGAGAAACACTAATGAAAACCATGTGTAGCACAAAAGTGAGAAATGAGTACCTCTGTTACACCCTTTGCATCTGTATTTGCTTCCTTATAATATTTCCTAAAGTCATCCCTAAAAAAGTAACAAGGGAAACCTATAAGCACTACCCCTGGGATTAATTAACACAAGGAAAAAGAAACAGTAAACCAAGGGTCATTATATGAACAAAAAGAAGGAAATAGGAGGACGTTTGGGTGCATTAGGATATTTCCCCTTCTCAACTTCTTCGGCTTTTTTGTAACATCATCAATACCGGGTTAGTGACTAAATTGTAAAATTTTAGAATTTGTTGATAAAAGTAGAATAGTTGAATAGTTCAATGATTTATGTGGAGATTTCCTAAAATTTGTTAGTAATTATTAAAGGAATTAAAGGGAAAAATGGTCATTTGGCTTAGAAATGAATAAAATAATGATATATATGGGGATAAGGTTGAGAGATTTCTCCAGAAATCACTTTACTCTTCATTCTTCATCATCTTCTATTCTCCAATGTGCCCAAGCTAGAGAAAAGGTGAGTTTTCTATTTGGTTGATTATTTGTTAATTTTTAGAGTGGGTTTTGATCATTAGATGATACCTAAGCTTAAGGAAAGCTTAAGTTATCTTAAAATCAAAAGATGAAGAAGTTATGAAAGATTAAAGAAAATGGGGTTTTAAGTGAATTCTTGGAAAAAAGTTGATAAGTTGAATTTGAAACTAAATTTGACTTGTCATAGGTATGAATAAGAAATTATAAGTGTTAAATCAAAGTTTGGATAACATGGAAAATTTGGTATAATTCTTAGCCTTAAGAATTTGGATGAAATGTGGAAGATTATAAGGTGTTGGAATGATAGAAATTTGTTAAAATTGTTATAGATGAATTTAGTATCATAATAAGGAATTTATACATGACAAGTTGGGTGAAGTGTTGATGATTTCTGGATGAAATAGTATATTATGGGTAGGTGCATCGATGCACTATGAGTGTGTACCGATGCACTAAGATAATTTTTGAAGGTGCATCGATGCATGGGAATTTCGAAGCTATTTTGTGTACCGATGCACCCATAGTGCATCGATACACCCCTAAAAGAAAAATGGAAATTTTGTTTATTAAATTAGCCTAAGTTATTAATACCAAGTTATACGGTTTATGCTTTTGATAATTGTCTCAGAAATAATGTTTATGTAGGTATTGAGCCTAAACAAATTTCGGAACAATCAAAGAATTAGGATCGAATCAAAGCAAGGCTAAGGTGAGTGAAATTTAATTTGTTCTTATAGAACAAACATTGGCTTGCGATGAGTCAGTGACAAAGTTACTACGGTAAGAAGTAACTTCTAAAATGTTATTTGATTATGATTTGTGCATTAGTACATAGAAATAGGTATATGATATTATATGTGATCATAAGAGCAATAAAAAGAATACATGCACATGTCTATAGAGTAAGTGCATTTCTGCATGTGAGTTATGTGACATATGAATATGCAATACATGATACATGTGATATGATATGAAATATATGGTTACACATACATGTGGTATGTGACAGAAAAGAAAGAACAAGTGATATGAAATGTATAAATGATAATGCCTATGTTATATGATATGAGAGCTAGTGGTATAGTTGACATGCCAGGAGTCGAGGGTTCTATGTGGTTCTTCGGGACATATATGTTTCCTTTGGAACATTTACAGGGTCTTTTGAGACAGATTTGATCCACTGGAATATGTATATGGTTCTTAAGGAGTGGTCATTCGGGACAAATACAATACATAGGTCATTCGGGACAAAATTTCATAGCCCCTAGTGGGACTCCATACAAGCTGTGGTGACAGCATAGTACACAACCTCAATGTACTCGAATACCTTGAGTTCTTAGTAATGTACATGGGCTTACAAAAAGGTATAAAAGTGTTTGCATTATTACATGTTATCATGCTATTATTATTTACATGAAATCATATGTGACATGATTGAATGAGTAGATGATATGTTCATATGGATATGAAAGGCATTATTTTTATTATATGTTTTATATGCCTCACTAAGTCAACGACTTAGCGTGTGATTGTTTCACACGTAGGTTTCGAGAAGATGAAGATTGATAAAAGTTTTGCAAGACAGGTCAGTTTATCCTTTCCAAAGATCAGATCAGAAAAGAAATGTATAATATGTATTTTGTAATAAGGATAATGGTTGGCATGTAAATAAAGATTTTGATATGATATGCTCTAATTGGTTTTGTAAAATAATATGATTGAGTTTTGTAATGTTTTAAACGTGTATATGTAAATGGTAATTTTATACGGATGGAAGTTTAAGTCAGTATTGTTCATACCGTATAGTATTGTTCATAAATATGTATTTTTTCAAATTTGTTATAAAGAGCATAATTCAACAATATATTAGCGTATTTTATTAAAAATAAGTCCAAATCATTTGTATTTTGTTAAGAATTTTGTTTTAAAAGGTCAATGTGACATCTCGAACTCGTATCCGGGTCGGGTACGGGTTGGGGTGTTACATTTTTAGCGTTTGGTTCTGTTGTTGAAGGTTTCTTCCTGTACAACTATCAGAAATATAAGCAAATCAAAACTAAATATGAAACTTCAAAAAAATATCCATCGATGTTAATAAAACCTTTATGCAGGTTTCTTATTGGCTTCAACAGACTTCTCAATAACTTGAGCCTCTAAATTAAGAAAACAAAAGTAAAAACGATAAAGAAAAAATCCCACCATGAAAAACATTGCTTCAGTTATGTGAATGAAACAAATTTGGCAAATTTGGCTATCAAACAAATGGTACTCATCATCTTCAATGGATGCAAACATAGGAGCTTCCTCTTCACCATCTTCCAAAACTCCCAAAACCACTTCTTCCATAGAATTTGACCAAAAAGTTCATACTGGAAAGCATAAAAAAACGCATTATCTTAAGAATTCTTAACCAATTAGCAAATCAAACAATACCAAACAAATAAACAAGTAAAGGTAATAAACTAAACAGATTTAACGGTTAAGACTTAGACCTATTTGGTGGGTAAGGAAATTGATGTAAAGATAAAAAAAATTAATTCCTTTCGATCAAAATAAGAAAGGGGTTGGGGAAAACGATGGAGGAAACAGGAAAAAATAATCTAAGGAAATTTGACAGAAGTTGCTGGGAATTTTGCCGCTGGATCTTTCCATGTTTATAAAACCAACCGGAAATGCAAACCCTAGATTCGACTCTAGTATCATCCCTAGCCCGTTTCTATGCACACACAAATTTCACCAAAATCAGGTTAGTTGATATACTACACAAATGGAATTGACATGGCAGAGAGAGACTGAAATGGAGATTTGAGAAATACCTGGGGGCAAGTAGTGATTTCGGAATTTAAAAAAAGGGCTGAACGGAAGGAGATAAACCTTTTAAAATATGCGGCGTTTTAAAACCCAAACGCCACAAACATACCAAACTATTGTGACGTTTGTAAAAAAAACGCCGCTAAAGTAATACTCTGTTGCAGCTTTTATTGAAAAAGTGCCACTATAGATTAACCCTATTATGGCATTTGTATAAAACGATGCTAAAGTACTACTCTTTTGCGGCGTTTATTGAAAAAATATCATTATAGATTAACCCTATTGCAGAGTTTGTATAAAAACACCGTTAAATTACTACTCTATTACGGTGTTTGTTGAAAAACCACTATAGATGAACCCTATTACGACATTTGTATAAAAATGCCGCTAATGTACTACTCTATTGCGGCTTTGTTGAAAAAATGCCACTATAGATGAACTTTATTGCTGCATTTGTATAAAACACCGCTAAAGTACTACTATGTTGCAGCGTTTGCTGAAAAAAAGCTACTATAGATGAACCTTATTGCGGCATTTTTATACAAACACCGCGAAAGTACTACTCTGTCGCGGCGTTTTGTATAAAAACGCCGCTAAAATTACCATTTTGTGGCGTTTGAAATGTAAACGCAATTATATGTTTAAAGTTAATGGTGTTTACTCTCAAAACGCCGCTAAAAACGTTGTATAACACTTTTGTTGTAGTGGTTGCACACAATTTGGCTATGAATAACTCCATCATGTAGTGTGCTACAGTCTATTAATTAACTCCCACGAGATACTTGCATCCGAAAATAGTAACTTTAAATTCCAAATTTAATAAGATTGTATGTATTGACGACACCAACGTAACATTTCATTAAAAATTCAACCTATCTCCAAGCTTGCTATAAAGAAAACTCAAATTTAAATGTAATTTTGCATATTGTAAGATGTGTATGCATGCATGTATTATCAATGATATAGAAAATGTTATTTAAAATTGTGATAGTAGTTAATTATTTCAGCTAACTTATCTCTTTCTCCCACACGAAAACCATTTATGTTTCCAGAGCATTTATTTTCTCCAGCAATAGCTGTAGTAAGCATAACGCTATCCGTACCATGCAAAAGTAAAATGTTGTACCTACCTTTCGAATGCACTTTTTTCTTGGCATAATACCAAAGTAAATCCCTTTCGAATGCACTTTTTTCTTGGCATAATACCAAAGTAAATCCCCAATGTTTATTAAAATAGTCATTTTGATCTTTATTTTTCTTTTGAAATATTTTGATCCCTAACATTTTATTTTACGGTAAAAAGACTCGTAACATTTGACCAAATAGTCATTTTGTTTTTATTTTTGAAACATTTTGACCATCACCGTTTTATTTTACGGTAAAAATACATCTATTTTGTAATATTAACCATTTGTTAACTAACGATTTTCATCCACATAGGGATTTTTTTGCCTTAAAATAAAATGTTTGGGGACAAAATACTAAAAAAATAAGAACCAAAGTGACTATTTAATTAACCATTAGGAATATTTTTAACATTATACCAGATTTTTATCAATTAACCATTGGTATAATATGACCAAAGACTAAATATTATAGACTAAAATAAATTAAACTTAAAAAATATTTTTATAACATATCATTACATTATCTAAATTCGGATTATTTGATCTCTACACTAAACATAACATGTAATTATTTCATCAATTCTACTTTGCATTATTGAAGTAACGCAATTATAACATGTCACATTTTTTTCACGAAAAATAAATAATCATCAAGATACCAAGTTTTGAAATTGGAAAGATAGGGGAAAACAAATAATTTTCTTACATACCAGTTTGAAACATGAACGGATTAAAAATTGTAATGCTAAGCAGAGAATGCAATATTTTATATTATATGATGAAGTTTTAAAATTTTAAGAGATAACGAATTTATAAATTCTAAGAAAGGAAATATATAAAATACATGATAATTTGAAAATAAAGAAGGATTGCCTTTGATCATCCCGATCTTAGGAATAATCAAAGTGTTGTTATGTTGACTAGTAACTCAAGTGTTGGTGTTGGTGTCCAAAGCCAAGAGGGTGGTGAGATTCATGGGAGTCATGTAATCGGTGGAACCACGCAAGATCATGTCGACGATAATTCCATTAGCTCTTTCCGATGGATGGAATGGATCCCAAAACACATACTCGTCTCGGTTCGGACATAAATTTGATAATATAGTACATAACCCTAAACCATTATAAGGTCCTTGTCCACAACACGCTATCTTTGATGTTGTAAACCCTACAAACAAAATATATGTTACGTTTAATCATATATATAATGATGGTACGTGGTGGTAGGTTGCCATAAATTAAAATTGGGTAAAATATTTAATGAAGTCAACAAAAAGTCACACTTCCTTTTATTATTCATCTTCCCATTTTATCAATTCTACCCAATCTCTTATCCAATCATTTATTACTCTTAAATATCTGTGTCCCTTTTCCGTGTAAATCTATTTTTTTAATAAAAATAATAATTTACAGTAGAAATTTTGTTCCAATTTAGTGGGTAAAAAAGTTACTATTTTAATATATAAAATAAATTATTTATATTGAATCATGGATTAGTGTACTAACCATAGGATCCAGGGTTGCTAATGAAATCATTGGTTTGTTGCTGAGTATTAGCAGCAATGAAGATATTTGCACCATAGTCGCTGTTGAGTCCATTTATCATCTCCACCAGTTGTGGGTTAAACAAGGAAGCCGCTTGCTGCAGCTCCGCGGCGCATTGACCATTCGGGCTCCTCATTGCCAACTCCGCCGGTACACACCCCAATGGTCCGGTCCCGGTTACTAGAACCCTTTGAGCTCCTAGATCATGTAGTCTCTGCATTTGCAATCTAATTTTAACTACTCTTTCTAACTTAACCATTAATTTAGATCGAATATTGTAGATACCTATTATAGGAATGATTCTTCTAGTTCAATTTGTTTTATTCACATCGTCGGGCATCGTCAGGATTCAACCCTTGATCTTATTTAAAAAATATAATATCTCATCTTATTAAAACAACTTATTATTGTTGGTTAAATTGACATCTATTTTAACGTTGACATGAACCAAAACAAGACTGATCAAATATTGTAAAAACTAGATCAAATGACTTTGAATTTCCTATTTTAACTGTCTATTATCGTCCCAAAAAAGAAACCTAAAACAAAGGGAAAGAAATTTACCATAAGAATTTTTCTGTACTCGGAGATGAGATATCTAACGTAATCCGGTAGAAGGAATTGGCGGGATCTTGCAGAAAAGGGAACCAAGAAATAGTTGTTGACGAAATCATTACCGCCGACAGTGATGAGAACAAGAGCATCTCTTACAATCTGTTGTGCCTCGTCGTTTCCGACAAGGTCAGCCAACCGTCTCTGGTATTGTTCGAAGTATTGTAATTGCCGGAACATTCTTATAATGTTTATCTGTGCCAATGTATCATTTCAAAAAAAGTAGGCTAAATGGGGGTCCAACAGTGTCACATTACCATGGAAACTATGAACAAACATTAAGGGAAGTTTCACTTCAAATTTTGAACTCGGATTTTATGTAACCAAAAAGTTTGAGGTTGAAGTAACTGTGGACGTGTACATTTTTAACCACTAACGAAGATCACAAACATATACTATTTTATGATCAACCCGTACTAATAAAAAAAATTCAGGGTTTCGGAATTCAGCCTGAAATTCAGAGGACTTACAAATTGAATGCCGGTGTCATTGAGGATTCCAATACCAGCTGAAGCAAAGTTGGCACCGACAAGCAGCTTTTCTCCGGTGAGTTCAGGACTCAAGTATGGCAATGTTGGCTCCGAACCAAGTGCATCACCTAAGATATACACTTTGTCAATTCAATTAGCAGCGGAGATTACGTGTCAAACTATATTGAAGTTAATACTTGGAGCATTAACGCAAAATACTAGAAACAAATTAAAAATGGAAAAGGACTAAAGAAAGAAAGAGCAACTGATGAAGTCAGGGATGTTTTTGCCGTTGGAGAAGCGGCCGGTGGGACGACGGCTAGGAGTGTCAATGCCGTAGGGAGGCGAATCAGCTCGAGCAGTGGTTGCTAAGTAATTGTTGTTGCCATTATCAACCAGTGAATCGCCAAATACGAAAAAGGCCCTGGGGGCAGCTTCAACTTGAATCGTGGTTGAAGTTAACATCAAAAGGCCTAAAGCCATCAATGAAACCAGAACCACTGAGTTCACCATGGAAGTTGAAGGAGATTTAAAGCTCTATAAGTTGCTTCTTCTTTTTTTGAAACTCTGGTTTGGAATGTAAATCAAAGACTATGCAC